TGATGATCCAACAGCTACTGAGACCATAGCTGCTATCTTACAGTTCCCAGATCCTGTTCCATAGCTAATATGGCCTTAATACTCCTCATGCCTTCTGAGAATTGCAACAGTGAATAACTCTGAGAATATAGTGATGTCAAACACATAAATGCTTTATGCTGTCTTCTCCCCAGGAGAACAAATTCTTTGAACTGTTCTCATGTTGTGATGGTTTTAATAAAGGCTTAAGCTAACAGATTCTAGTTATTTTTCTTTCACTAATTTATCCTCCTTATTGAATAACAGTTTGGCTGAATATCATTTTCCTTGATAATTTTGAATACTTTGTTCCCCTATTTCATGGCATACAATATTGTCAATGAGAAGCCTTTTTTCTATAGTGATCATTCCATATTCCTGGGAAGGGAGGCTTCCCTGCTTCTGCAACTTCCAGCTAGGGTTGTGGCTTGCTGCTGTGGTTTCCTAAATATCGTACCACAGTGACATATGTACATCCCCATTTATAGCAGCAAAATTTGTAGTAGTTAAATCTTGGAAACAGCCCAAATGCCCATCAACAGAGGAATGGATAAAAAAAGATGTGTGACTTTTTTTTATATAATGGAGTACTAGTCAGCCATAAAGAAAAACTGGAGACTTTTATAGGTAAATGGATGCAACTCTAGATAATACTCATCAGTGAAATAAATCAGACTCATGTGTGTAAACATCATATTGTCTCACTAGTGTGAGAAATTGAACAAGAAATAGGATTGAAAACATACAGCAGATACCGTGAACTGAGAAATAACTGCAAAAGAAAATGGGAAAAGAAAGAAAGGGAAAAAGAAAAAAATGTATGTATACACAAGATAGTTAAGATAGTTATACAGCCAGCTCCTCTTACTTTCTTGAAGACTGCTTCATGCTAATATTGTCTGGACAAAATATCACACCAGTATCTTGTACTCTGATGAACCACTAGGAAGACAAGAATATGCCATGTATCAACTATTGTAACTGTCCTGCTAACCTGTTTTAAAACTTGAAATGCATTAACTATTGTAACAACTAATGTATCAGCTATTATAACTGTCCTACTAACATGTTTTATTGTTTGTTTATCTTCTTTTCTCTGTAAAACAAAGAAAGAAAGAAAGAAAGAAAGAAAGAAAGAAAGAAAGAACGAAAGTTACTTAGTGTCTGCTCCACAAGAAGTCCTGCCTCTGTTTTGCAAAAATCTCAAAATACTTACAATTTCCTTGAACATATACCTTTACAAATCACTCAGAATTATTTTGTGTGAAAAGGGGTGATTCACCATGTGCAGACAGGGAAGAAATAATCTTATTTTTGTTTGTCTGGATGGGTTCATGTGAAGCACTTCTTTCTTTTTCATCTTGGCATATCTGTTTCCTTTAGATTCAAAATAATGGAGCACAAAATGTGCTGGATGTCTGTGTTTCTTCGCTCCTCAACTGTCCTACCTGCTTTCTGTACATGGGCAGGTGTCTTGTATGTGCTGTGTCCCTGTGTGGAGAGCATTCTGGGGCTTCATTTTCTTCTGTTTGCTTTTGTTTTTATATTAGTGTCCAGGGCCAAAAGAAATGACACTGAACTTAGTAATTTGAAGAGGATTTAACAAAAGAATGAATTAGAAAGATGTAGATTGTTGTAGTTTGGGGTTTTGTACGGGGAACAATATAATACAGAATGCATATTTTATAAGGTAATTCATATGGTAAGTTTTTCAGTTGAGTTTCCTGCAGTGTGAGGCACCAATAAGAGATCAGACAGCGGGAAGAGATTAAGATCACTCGGGCTGCGTATTTCCTGTCCTGTGCACTCTGCTTCACCCTCCATACTCCTTCGCCCTTAGGCTCTGTCCCCTCGTGAAGACAACATACTCTAGGCAGCTCTATGAAAGTCCTGCCACCTCGTTCCTCCCTTTGATCCTTCTCGTCTAGGGCTAGCAGTGACTCCCTAGGGTGTTACCATGGAGAACCACATTTTCTTGCTGGCTTCTCTGTACCCTGCACTACACCTATGTGGTGGGTTGACAACTGGTGGTCAACTTGTAACACTCAGATGAACTGAATCAGTGTGGTGCTGGGTGTGGGAGGCCCACCTGAGGATTGTTGCCAGCTGCATAAGAGGCAGACCTGGAGAGAAGGCTGTGAGAGGCTGTTATGAGCTGGTAGAAGCTGTTGGAGGAGTTGGTCATTGTTGGCTTTCCTGATGAACTTGGCTGTTCTCATCATCGGAGGAGCTTGGGATCTCACTTTGAGCATCACTTCCTGGCTCCAGTGGGGAAGAAGGTGCATAGCTCATTCTCTTGGAGAAGCTTGTTGTGTTGGCTTTCCTGATGGGAACTCGGCTGTCCTGATCATTGGAGGAGCTCAGAACCTCACTGTTGTTGAGGATGGCTATGGTACTTTTGGAGGGAGCTCTTGTTTTTACTTTGAGCATTGCTTCCTGGCTCCAGTTCTGATCCCTCAGCCTGCTAGCAAAGATCCTTCAGCCTACTGGCACAGACTTTATAGCTTCCACCACTGACTTTTGGGCCTTCCCAGTGCAGATCCATGAAACAGGCCTGCATGAGACATTGTTGTGGGCTCTTGTCCTTCAGTTGGACTTGGAGGGGGGCGGGTATTACTATGGGCTCTAGGTCTTGAGCTGTATTCATGTGGGACCTTGCCATGGGATTCAGACCCTCTGCTGAATTCTTTGGTCTTTAGTGTGTAGACAGATTTCCTGCACTCTCTTTTTGTATATGATCCTTTGAGTGACTGTTATAAATTACCTTATAAAATATGCATTCTGTATTATATTGTTCCCCGTACAAAACCCCAAACTACAACAATCTACATCTTTCTAATTCATTCTTTTGTTAAATCCTCTTCAAATTACTAAGTTCAGTATCATTTCTTTTGGCCCTGGACACTAATATGAAAACAAAAGCAAACAGAAGAAAATGAAGTAATAAAGCAAATAGGTAACTTCATTCTACAGCTTGGTCTTTTTGTCGTTTCATAACAGAATAAACTATTTAAGACAGAATGTAGGTGAAGAGAACTTGTTTTACTTAAAGGAAATGTGCCACAGAGGGAAAATAACAGTAAATGTTTCATGAGCACAGACGGAAAGTTGAAGTTTTCTCCATGTCCCCATTCCCGCTGCTGCTGATCCCCAGGCCTGGAGGGATAGAGGTCTCTGATGTGCATGTTTACCCAGCGCAGTGGGAGTGTGCTGCAGAGATTTACAGACACTTAAAGCTGGCAGGGCCGCGGGGAGTAGCTTGTGCAGCCGCAGGCTGCTCAAAGCGCAGTATAATTTGTGAGATATTCTTGGATTTAATTTGTGAAGCGAATACTTAAGAGCCATCCCACACCGCCACCTATTCACTGTGCCAATACACAATTTTTATGGTTAAAATATAGTACTCCTTTTCTTCCTGGCATCTTGAAGAGAAGCTAAGAATGACAACAGGTAGCATTCTCTGCTCAGTGTGTGTGTTCAAGCCTAACATGCACCATTCCACTGAGCTCTCAGCTAAACCCCAGCACGGGGGGCTGGAAGACTGTGTTTATTCCAGTTGTACTGATGAGGAAAATAAGGTAAAGAAAGGCTAAGGGACTTGCTCATCTTTGCAAGGTCTTAGGTAGTAAGCCGAGCAGTGTGACTCTGCTTGTCGCCTGATCTTACACAGCACACCATTCCTCTACTTACAGCACTCACGCGGACCACTGAGTAAATGCACATTTGGAAATGTTGATTTGTATCTAACGGCAAACGTAGCTGTTGTTCCAAGTTATTAAATGCACCATGTCACTTCAAATGACCACATCATAGTGTTGTGTCAAGGTTTGTTTACTGAATTTCATTGTTAGGTATTAATTTGCTCCTCTTCAATAGTTTTTCTCCAATCTTGCCTCTCATAGTATTACTCACGAATTTCCTTAAGCTCAATATTCTTACCTGTCAACTGATGATAGAAGTAAGACTTTCCTCAGATTGAATAACTAAATATATATAATTATGGATATTATTAATAACTGTTATTTAATAGAATGCTAAATGTTGTTTGAGGAGTGGGGCTATATATGACTCGGACTTCTCCATTTTGCTTACCATTATACACTTTGTAATCTGTAAATGTACTGTATAGTAAGGAAAATTAATTGGAGGGTTTTCTAAAGCAAGCTACTCAATTAAAGATACAGAAGTTAAAATGCATTTTGTTTCTTCTCTCTTGCAAATGGTTCCCTGATCAGCAACAGTCGCCAGTAGAGGCTGGATTTGTGGAGTTTAGTGTCACTGAGCTGTGCTGTCCTGTATTATTTTACTATTTGTCACTATTTCATACTCTGTGCCATTAGTAAATGATTTCACAGATACTTATTAGTCCTTCCCCTTAAATAAATACATTAGAACCTCCCTCTCATTGCTTTGTATTTATTCCCAGTGCATTTATTCCTGATGCTTATACCAGAAGGAGAGTTACAGGTATTAGCAATTCACAGGCACTCCTTAGAACAACTGTCTCTGTCATTTTCTGACAACCTGTGAGAGTGTGATTTGAGATCTTCATTCCGGTGAGACTCATGCATTGATGCATTATACTGTGCTCATGTATTGGGCTTTAAGTGGGGCTGAAATGCTAGTATGCTAGCATTTTTCTCCATATGAAAATAACTAGTGAAATTCAACTTTAAAGTAGATTGTAATTCTGGCTATAATATGGAATCATGGGCCTGTATGACTGAAATTTAGCCTTTACTCCTTGGATTCTGAAATGCAACTGTTTTCTCCAGAAATCATCTCAGATCAAATGACTTTGCAAAAAACGTATGTGGGAGCATGTCCTGTGTGTGTGTGTGTGTGTGTGTGTGTGTGTAAGAGAGAGATAGAGAGCAAAAGAACTTTGCATTTCAAGTAAAACATCTTTGAACACATTTCATCAACTAAAAGAAAGGTTGCTGATTTGACATAAATATTAATCAAGGAATAAGACACCATCCTCAAGATATTTTCTCTTTTATTTAAAATGGTAGCTATCACAACACATCATACAATAAATCAAGACTTTAGGTTCACATTAAAACTTTAAAACATCTTTATATAGGCCCCAAACATGAAACATGCTGCAGAGATACAAATACCGCTTGCTACCAAGGTCTCGGTGCTTTCTCACCATGAAAACCAACAAGGAACACATCTGCAGAGGAAGTTCCGCGCTATTTGCGGCAGCCGTCGTGGCTGCTTCAGATCTATGATTTCTTCCTTTGGAGACCAGGCATTTACAATTTCACTGAACACTGTGCTGTCATGGGAAATCCCCATTTATTTCCACTTCTGAAGGAGTCATATTAGAATTATAACACATGTTCACAATGCATATTGGCACAATATGAAAAATAAACACTTTTTCTGAGTTTTCCACTCATAACAATAATTGTTTTTAAATAAATAATTATTCCTCATAGTGCATGTTTTATGTTACCTTTCATTGCCCATTGACACAAATGAAGCTGAATAAATAACACGTTAGGCAGTTTATTTACGTCTTCTTTCGTAATTCTGCATTGCACTCCTTTCGTAAGCCACTGAAAATAGAGGAGGTAGGGTGTGTTAAGGATGTTCACTGACTGAGTCAAATAAATAAAATTCAATGCATGCAGTAAGTTATTATAAAGTCATCATGACTTCTTCCTTCCACGGAAGGCTCTGAGAATTTTATTTGTGCATCTTCCAATCCTTCCTCACTCTACCCTGGTTCTTAGCCACAGAACTCTCACTTTCTTCCGTCATCCATTGGATATTTGATGCCCTGGAAGGAATATATTGTATTCGTTCACATGTGGCAGTGTTGCTTTCACACGCTTTCTTGAGCACTGTCAGACACTAGTGAATTACAGAAAGAATCATGCCTAAAGTAACCAGGAATATTGTCAGGATGAAAGTGAAATGTGATGCTTTTGTTTTAGGATGGAAGTCAATAAACGGTAGGCCGTGGGGCAAATGCTGCCCTCAATTTGCTCTTGCAAATATAGTTTTATTGGAACACAGATACGTTCACTCTGCTTTTGGGATTTAAAACGTTAGATTTGAATAGCTGCTACAGAGCCCATAGGCTTACAAAGTCTTCAGTCTAGTCATTTTTTGTTTGTTTGTTTGTTTGTTTGTTTTTTCAGAAAAACTTTCCTGATCTTTGTCCTACTGGCACCTAATGGTGTGAGAATATCTTTTTCCCTTGTGGGTACCTCCTCATACAAGTCTGTCCCGAAGAGAAAAGCAGTCCCGTTTTTCCTAGGAAAACCAACTAAACCCTCAAAGGACAGCACAGTTCAGTTTACCACCCTAGTGGTCTGTGAAAGATTGATTACTGCTTCCAAAGGTACTTAACATATAGATAATAAGTACTTCAAGTACTTTGACTCTGGACCAAAAAAATTCCCAAGTTATATTATGTTACATTATATTATAACATATATGGTTTCAAAGGGATCTGTAACCACAAAAGATCAAGGACTAGACTCTTATGATCACTCAACTAAGGATAGTTTTTTATCATCTTAGGGAGTATTTCATACACTTAAAGGTACATTATTGTAAAACTGCTTTGCTTTCTGAAATTCAGTTTGCCTCACAGAAAATACTGACCTTAAGTAGTGCTACCCTAAACAGCTTCCTGGATTAGAGAGTTTGTTGAAGGAGAAGGAGAGAAGGGAGATAAAGACACCAGTTAGCACTTCCCCTGCCTAACAGCGATCTCTGACATCCATCCAGCAAGCCATCGAGTTCAACAGCAACAGCATTTTGCATCAGTTATGCGTGCTATTCTGAGGCGGACCAGACTGAGCTCTGAAACGGACAGTTCTGAAGGAAGGGCGAGTTCATTTCTCGCTCTGCTGTGTTTGTATTACAGGAGTGATGACAAACACATTTTAGATAACGTGACTGTTTTTTTAAAGAAGGGAAAGGAATGCTCATTGAACAAAGTACAGACAGAGGAGCCATTTAGCTGGACACAATACCTTCTCCCAGGAACACAACGTTTCCTTTCTGGTCCTTCCACCCTCTGAAAACATGTACCAGTTTCTGTGTCTGAGCTGCTGAGGCTCTCTCTGGGCTAGGGTTTCTACATTATCAGCTTGTCAAAGTGGCCAGTGACTATGAAATGATCAGAGTTAGGAGGCTCTGTAATAAAACTCCGATAACTTTATCTCTGACTGAAATGGTCTCTGACTGACTACGGCTTACGGTTTTTCTTTTGTGCTTTCTTAACTAAAATGGAAGAACAAAGATGTAATTATAGTGGTTCTATTTACTATTACCTATAATTACGTTATTACTTTATTCATATTTAATTGATTCTAAACTGAATAATATCTATATTTGTGAAGTGAAACATACTGTGAAAAGGATGTTGCTTCTGGAATTAAAGAGTTGATGACTAATACAATTATTAAGAAAATCATAATTATGCTCAGACGAGTACGTATAGAGACAGAAAAGTGCCACTGTCTCCAATAGGTTTAAATTTCCTGTATCCAAAAGCTGGATTACAATACCTATTCATAAAAAAGATCACAAGTTTTTCACGAGGTACACCAAGAGCTTCTTTTAAACTTAAACTTGAATAGCTCCCAAATTATAAAAGCTAGGTCTAAATCTGGAAAGTGAAGAATCAATAAAAATACTAGGATAATTATTTTTACATGAATTCAGACAACTAAGAATTAAGCCAGCACATCTTATAGGTTTTCCAGAAACTGGAAATATTCTCAAGGGATAGGACAGCTACTAGTTACTAGCTAGATGATCAGTATTTTAAACTATTTTCAAGGAAGGTAAATAAAGAGAATTTGAATAGCTTTTCCAAGGACCCTACACAAAGGGCTACCAGACTTGAATATGCTTTAAAAAATGTCAGTTTCCATGAACATTATCCTAGGGGTTATTTAACTCTGAAAACTTTGACAAGTGAATTGGAAAATAAGGGTGTTCAGGCATTTGTACGCAGCATTTATATAGAAGCTGAAAACTACAGAAAGGAATTATGTAGGCTTTATATCCAGTCAAAGAGTTGCTCGGAATTAAAATGAGTTATGAGAATTGTAGTGTCTCTTCTCTCTAAGAGTTTTAGAGCCTGAACTGATTTGTAACATTCCAGGATGATTTGATTATGTTTGCTTTAGAAAACATTGGAATAGACCATATCACTCATCTTTGCTAACATCCAGCAGGACATTTAGATTTGAGCTTCTATAACTTTGTAAAGAGCAAGTGATCTGTATGAAATTTTTGTTTTGCTTATTTTTGTGCCAGAAGATTGCCAGATATAACATTTTATACACCTTTCAAATTATTTTGGTCATAGATGAAAATCCCTTATCTCTCTCTGGACCCCTCCTCCAATTCCTGCTGGTTCAATAAGTTTGAATATGGTTTGTTGAACAGATATTGACAAAGAGTACATTGTATTAAGTATATTTTATACTCTTGGGAAAGACTATATTGTATTAAGTTAGCCCCAAGATTCAGGGTGTGCAGTTGTGGACAGAGCGGACATGGGAAAGCTGGTGGTCTAAAGGAAATGGATTGATGTTCTAGTGGTATTAGCTTAATCACCTCTAAATCTGTTCTTGGCTACAAGTGCTACAATTCAATTTTTTGTCATAAATCTTCATTTTAAGTCTACTATTGCTTTTATACTTTAAATCATGCCTTATAAAATAGAAGTAGATTTGCGATACTATTTTCAGTCATGATTTTATACATACCAGAATTTAAAGCTCTTTTGCCCATTAGTCCAACAAAGGAATCTGTTTTATGCCCTGGAAAAATACATTTAGGGGTATTTCAATATGTATATCTTTGAGGAAATAAATAGTTATAAACTTGTACAAAACAGCAAGCTTCTGAATATATGCCTAATAAGTATATATTTACTTGTAGTTTTGGCAAGACTGAAGAAATAAAGATTCCTTATGTCTTATAAATTATGCTAAACCAATATAATAAAAGCACTTTACTTACTCTATATTTATTAACAAGTCCTTTTAATCTATTTTATTATATTTTGTCTGATATAAAGTTTTAAATATTGCTGCAATTTAACTTTGATTGCAAAAGAATCAGTTTCACATTTTGTGTGAGAAATAGCCATGCTTGCTTCTTCATATTATTAAATATGTCTCATTCCTTAGCAAGCAAAGCTCACTTAATTTAGATCTATATCTTGGATAATTGTAATCTCCTAAAAGATCACTGTTTTATTGAATTTTAAAAATACTCCTTTTGAGGAAGAGTATAAGATTTGACATTAATAGGGTACATTTATTTTTATTACATAGAGTTTTGTAATTCCCTTGAAAGTAAAACCCTTAAAAATAAATATCAATGATGTATTTCCAAAGATGAAATCTTGGGAACAGGTTACTATTTTAATGCTCGTGGGATAATTTCCTCTGGCTCTAACTGCATTCATTGAGAAGATGGCTGTCACTTTATGGGGGCTGCTTTGTCACCCAGTGAGTCAACCTGCAGCGGCACAGAGATGGACAGTACGAAGAGACGGACTCTGGGCTGGCTGTCAACTCTGTTTGTATTATCTTGGAATTTAACCTAAGGATTTCTTCTGTGCAGCAATTCTGCCATTTTCCCTTTCAAAGAGAGGTTCACTTATCTCTGATGAACTTAGGTTCTCTTTTGATCTGGGGGTATAATAAATTGCATCTCCTTTACTCTTTCCCTTTAATGTGAATTCTCTACACAGATATTCATGCATTCCACTTAATCGACTTATGCACAACCCCTCAAAATGATGGTATGAGATCCAGCTAACTAAGGTGTTCAATTTTGTGTAGTATAAGTGGGTATGGGGGAGAAGGTAGAGATGAATGTATGGATTTCTAACCATCATTCTGAAAACTTAAAACTAACAATTTACAGTTATTCTTCTTTTAGCATCATTTTTTTTTGGTAATTACATACTTCATTAATAAATTAAAGTTATTTATTATAAATATTAATTTAAGCACATTCTGGATGTGAGCCTCCTCCCTTATGCTATCTTAATCACAAATATTAGGTTCTAAATTATGACTGAAATTAATGCAATATGTAAAGTAGAATTTAATACAATTAACATTAGCATAAATGTCAAAATAAGTTTGAACTTACTTTTGTGAGAGATCTGGCCATGTCCTGGAATAAAGAATGATACAATTAATGAACATTTATAGATTTATTTTAAAGATGGTACATTCTATCTTTTAGAGAGAATTATACAATAAATTGATTTTTAAAATATGTAATATTTTCTGTTTCGGCACTATCCTGAGGAATATAGCAGAACCGTAAATGCTAACAAAATTATTGATAAAAGTGGATGTTTTAGCAGAAAAAGGGAGTATATGTTAAGTGCCTTCTATAGGTCATAGAGTCAAATCTAGAACTACGGAAGTCTAACAGCCTGTATTAATATAATGCTATATTGTACCATCAAGTATTTTCAAGTCCAAGAGAGAAGGAGGAGAAAGAGAAAGGGGGAGAGAGAGAGAGAGAGAGAGAGAGAGAGAGAGAGAGAGAGGAGAGAGAAATCTATCTCTTAATTAAACAGGCACAAGTAAGATCTTGTTTTTCAGCCCATACAAGATCGTCTTCACTTGCCTACGCGTGCATTCACAATGGTAAAATAAAGATTTATAGGAATGTTTACCATAAAGAGCCTTTAACAGGGCCACTTGTTTTTCAATTGAGGAATCTGACAAGAGACAATTGACATTAACTATTCACGCGTTCCGCTGGCGGTGCAATGAACTCAAGGAAACTGAACACTTCTACCAGGTGATGAGGGGGAGCCAAACCTACATCCACCCCAGAGAACGCTGGAAGGTCGGCGTTCACGCGCACGCGGACTGCTCAGGGTACTACCCCTGGAGGCCCACGCCTTCCCCTTCTTTGCGGTTTGGATTTCTGTCAAGGCAGTGCCTAGCTAAGGCTGGTTCCTGTTCGGTCATGTTTGTAATGTGAAGCAAGCATGCACCAGGGGTCTGGCCCTCCCTGGGTGGGCAAGTCGAGCGTTAGTTAATGAGGCGCGGGCTGGAGTGTCATTCTGGGAGTCAGGACCCTGGATTCAGGGTGGAAATCTCTACCCAAAGAGGAAGACACACTTAGGTGGGTGCTGCGGAAAGGAGCAAGCAGACGGGGCAAGGGCCGGCCCCAGAGACCCACACGCGTTTGCCAGTCTCACCAGCTTCCCGTTTGCCCATTAGTCCAAAGAACTGCTGAGGCTTGGGTCTGCGGGCGATTCTCTGCAGCAGGTGCTCAAAGGGCTCCGGCAGCTCCTCCTGAGGACAAGAAGCGGCGAGACGCACAGTGAGCGCCCGGGAGCCGGCGAGCTGCCCAGGTGCTCGGCGCCGAGGCCAGTTTCCCGGAGGGAGGCGAGAAGCCGACGGCCTCCCGGTGCCTCGGCCGAGCAGGGTTCAGCTGGCGCGCTCTGCACCTTTGCGCGCCCCGCTGCCTCCTCCCGTCTGCCCGGCTGGTTAGCAGCAGCTGGGCATCTTCCAGCCCCGAGCGCTTCTCGCCCTTTCCTCCCATCCCCGACGCCCTTCCTTATTTACAGAGCCTCCCCGTGACTTTGATTGCTGCCTGGGGCGGACCTCAGAGACCCCTCACGGGCCTAAGAGGACAGAGGTGGGTGTGGGAGGGGCCGGAGTTGGGGTGGAGAAGGTGCCTACACTTCGCACGCGAGCTGCACGCGTGACTTTCAACAGTTTCCCAGGGGCTCACTCTTAGGCGCCAATATCCTGGGAACCGCCTAAAGGGAAACTTAACTACCTTCCCCAGGCCCTCAACACTAGCCAGTAGGCAGGAAGTTCGCTTCCCACCCGCCTGCGCCTCCAGACCCCCGGGCTGCTGTCCCTGGCGCCCGCTGCTCCCAGCGACAGACTCGCGCTCTCCTATTCCGCTCCAGCTTTTCCAAAAGCGCGGGCCGGGCGGCTGGACGGAGCCCCCAGATCTCTTTTAGTGGGTAAGATTTATTTCCAGGCTTGCGAGGAGCCAGGCTCCCCAGGGAGAGCGCCTTCGCTTCAGGGAACGCCTGGGACGACCGGGCAGCGCAGTTTTAAGGGGACACTGTGGGCGTAGGGTGCCCTGCGGGGCCCGGGGGGACGACACCCCGCGACCTCCCCACCGCGCGCCTGCACTGTCTGCGGCGGCCGCGGGACCCTCGAAGCTCCCGGGGGTGCGATCGCAGGGAAGGCAGCAGCTGCAAAGCCCGGGGAGAAGAACGCGGGCCGCCCCGGGACCCAGCCTCACCTTGATCTGGTCACTGTCGGACCAGTCGGACCAGTAATTTAGATCATCGCTGGCGCCCATTTCTTCTGCAAACAGTTGTGTGGAAACCAGGAAGAAGACTGCCAAGACGACGAGGATTTTCATATTGGATTTCTGACAAGAGTAGGGGAGGAGACACCGAGGAGAGAGATGTATTTCCAAGAGTTACAGCAGCAGAATGTTCGGTCCCGCAAGGCAACTCGGGTTAGGGTTACAATCTCACCTGTGTGCTTTAGGAAAGACAATCGCTCCCCAAAGATTCCCAGCTCCCCTCCCCGAGTCCCAGCTCCCCGGGCCCCCAGCGCTCTAACCCACACCCTCAAGCCTGGGGAGTCTGCAGAGGGAAGACAAAGACGGGCGTTGGCGTTGGGTACCGCTCGCGCTGCCCCTCTCCGCCCGCCGGATGCGCGCCCGGAGCGCGGGGCGCTACTTACTGCGGCGCTCAGGCCCGGGTCCCCGGCTGCGACGCGCGCGCCTCCCGGCTCCGCACTGGCGCTGGCTGCGGCGGTGGAGGAGGAGGAGGTCCGAGCGCGCTCTTTCGCCTGCTCCGTGCTTCCCGGTATTTATACCAGGCGTGACGAGCTTCGAGGCCCACGTGACAGTCTCCCCACGCGACTTTCTGCTCAATATTTAATTAGCCGCCTCCTCTGCTTTCGCTTGCGTGATTGAGAGTTTCCGAGACGGTAACCCGTCGGTGCCCATAACATCTGGACCCAATTGGGTTCGAAATGACGCACACTCAGGAAAATCAAAGTCTCGCCGTCCAATCCGGAGCGGCCTGCCTTCCTGCCTCTGCATATCTGACGCCCCCTCCCCTCTCTTCCGAACAGGGTTGCTTGACACCTGAGATTACTCATCAAAATGGAGCAAAGTGACTCATTCCTCGGACTTTGACAACTTTTCTGTTTCTTGAGACCTCAGGATAAGTTGCACTTGGAGGACAGCTACATCACTTCAGGCATTATTAAGACGGTGTTCTAGGAAATCAGACCAAGAAAGGAGCGCTGGTGCGGGGCGGGGAACATGTTTCCGTCTTCCTTTCTTCATCTTCCCAGCATCTTTCTGTGATCTGAGCATCCTTCTCCTAAATCACTAGAATACTGGCATTCGTGCAGGTTTACAAAAGCATTTTCAGTCTCATTGTATTTCAGGGAACGGAAACAGCTCTTTCAATTTGGGAGAAAGGGCAATTTAAGTTGGGCACTGCGTGTGGGTCGTAGTCTTCTGCCAGTGCCATTCCGAGATATATTTTCTTCCTATAAATCCTCTTTCTTGCCACATCCAGGAGCAGAGATTGGAAGAGGAGCTTTCTGCAGGGATGGGAAGAGGAGCTTTTCGCTTCTTTCCTACCTGTTCTGCTAACGACCACAAAACCAGCAAGACAGTACTGCAGGGTACTCGGCTATGTCACTAAGGGGCCCTACAGATCAGATTTCTCCTGAACAGAACACTAAGTGTAGGGAAGATGCCGACAGGGTGTCATTAGCAGGACAGAATCATTAGACAAATAATGTGTGTCTATTAACACATTAAGATCTTACACCTCTCCATGAACTACATGATATAGCACCTTGCTATTTTGTCTTAGTATGATACTTTTGAATTATAATTTTTTAGATAGTACGTAAAGGAAAAACATTTCTAACATCTCAGTGAGATCTTTAACATTTCCCTCTCTCATATTTGTTCTTTCCTATCACTGAAATTTGAAATTCACATGTCCTCATTTGTTTAGGTTAGACTTATCATGTAACCATTTAAATTTGTTTTCAAAACTTTTCTATGGGAAATTACAAATGCGTACCAAAGTAGGGAAGATCATGCACTTGAAACAACTTGCAAATTTCATCTACAACCGTTCTTATTTATCCTCCCCTTAGAATGTTTCAAGCAGGGGCTGGGGATTTAGCTCAGCGGCAAACCGCCTGCCTGGCAAGCACAAGGTCGTGAGTTCGGTTCCTGGTACCGGAGAAAAACAAAAAACAAAACAAAACAAAACAAAAACCAAGAATGTTTCAAGCAAATTCATCACTGAGAGTAAGTGTAGCTATTACAGCCTTTCTACCTAAAAGGTAAGGATATTTCTGCATGGGTATTTTGTTTAAAATTTTATTAGTACATGTCTGCATCACATAATGATTATATTCATTGTAGTGAATTGATGCATGTACATAAAAAATCTTTATGCTTTTTTCCGCTTCCTTTCCACCATTTTTTCTCTTTTTTGCCAGCATCAAATGCATTTATTTATTTTTAAAATCTTATCAAATTAATTATAAATGCAGATTAACAGCCAAACCAACAGGCCAAAAAACATATGGAACACATAAACAGTTATAAAAAATCAAAGTAGATCCATGCTGTAACTTTTTCTCTCTGTATTTTTCCTATTCTCTGTCTTTTACTTTGCACTTTATTTATATATTGGTTTTCTCATGTAAGAGAAATCATACCATATTTAAGTTTGTGGGTCTGATATATTTCACTTAATGTTATGGTTTCAAGTTGCATCCATTTTCTTACAACTGTCTCAGGTTTATCCTTCTTTATGGCAGAGTAATGCTCATTTTCTTCCATTTATCTGTTGATGGATATATAGGCTGCTTCCAAGTTTTAGCAATTATGAATTGTGCTACTATAAACATTGATATGTGTACATCACTGTGGTATGATATCTTTAATTCTTTCAAGAAGATACCTGGAAGGGGAATACCTGGGTCAAATGGAATTTTTAGTTTTAGTTTTTTGAAGACTCTCCATCCTGATTTCCATTGTACTGGTTTACATTCCCATCGGCAATGAAGAAGTGTTCCTTGTTCCCTCAGCCTCCCCAGCATTTGTTACTGGTTGATTTCTTGGAGTGTGTTTTAATTTGCATTTCTCGAGTAGCCAGGGATGTAGAACATTTTAAAATGCACTTATTAGATATTAGCTCTTTGTCTAAAGGAGTAACTGGCAATTCCCCTCTCCCCCATTCTATAGGTTACCTCTTAATTTGTTGGTGGTTTCCTTTGCTGTGCACCCAATCTTTAATCTGATGTGGTCCCTTGTTGATTCTTGGTACTAGTTCTTTTGCAACTGCGTTTCTGTCTTTGCCTTTGTCTTCGGGAGTTTTACCCTTTTTATCTACAAGAGTTTTATCCATTTTTATTCTCATAGACTAAATGTTTCTGCTTTAATATTTAGTTCTTTGATCCATTTTGATTTTAGTTTAGTGCATGGTGAGAGATATGGGTCTAGGTTCAATCTTAAGCATGTGGATATCTAGTTTTCACAGCACTCCATTTGTTAAAGAGGCTGTCTCTTCTCCAGTGAAAGTATGCAACCCTGTAATCAAAGATAAGGTAACTGAGTGCGCCTGCAGTTGTTTCTGCACCCTCTATTCTATTTCCATTGATCCACAAGTCTTTTTGTCAATACCATGCGGTTTTTATCACTGTAGCTTTGTAGTATAACTTGAAGTCCGGGATTGTGATGCCCCCTGCCTTGACCTTATTGCCCAGTATTACTTTTGTTATTCTATGTTTTGATTTCATATGAGTTTTATAATCATTTTCTCTAGTGCTGTGAGGAATTTTTCCCCCACTGGGGATACTATTGGTATTTTGAATGGGATTGTGTTAGATCTGTATAACAGTGTTGGCAATATGGTCATATTGATTGGTTCTGCCTAGGCAGGAACAGGGGATATCTCTCCATTTTCTGATGACTCTTTCAATTTTCAAAAGCTAAGGACTTTTAACTAAAAAAAGAAACTACTTCATTAGTCCATCTAAGACATCATAAAATACACCTTATACCATTATTCAGTCAACATTTAAATAATCTCCAAGTGTCATAGTCCTTCTTATGTAATACAGGTTAGTGTTTAATCAAAATTGTAAACTCCATGCACATTCAAAGCTATGACAGAATACTCTGAGCTGGATATCTGATGGACAGAAATTTTTTCTCACAGTTCTGAAGTTGGCAGTAGGAGATCAGCATGACGGGGTTGTCTAGATCTAGTGAGGGTCCTCTTCCAGCTTGTAGATTACTGCTATCTTTTCTGCTTGTTGATACTCACATGCAGAAAGAGTAAAAAAGCTCTCTGGGGCCCCTTTTATAAATGTACTAATCCCCTCCAGGAGGGATCTGCCCTCATGACCTTTCTTAATACTATCACCTTGGGGGTTAGAATTTGAACAGATGAAGTTTTAGGGGCACAAATATTCTATTCATTGCAATCCTTAGTCTTTTAATATTTTTTTCTGTCCCTCTCCTGCCCCTACAGTTTATTGGTAAAATAGGTCAATAAAATGTACTGCATTCTAGAATTTATCAATTGCATTTTAACTTGTTCCTCTTAGATATGTCCTACTCAGTGATACTTATAGTATTAGAAGCTTGATTTTGTGTAGGTTCATTTTTTCCTCTGGACAGGGGTAGTTTATATATGTTCTCTAATTCTTTCAGGAAGTATATGATATCTGGTTGTTTCACCTTTTGAATTGTCAGCAGCTAGTGATCATCATTTTCTAGTTTCATAATGGTGCCACTCTTATTTTATCATTCATTCTTTATGCATTAGTTGAACTACTCCAAGTAAAGTGAAAGTTTTTCACAACTGTTTAGTTATTCCAAGGCATAACTAACACAGGAAAGAAGAGAGAAATGCTTTATTATTTCCCTCTACCAATTTAAAAGCGAATTGCTAAATTAAAACCTCCAAATATAACCTATATTTTAAAAAGGCACTATTATGACTTCACAGATTTAAAGACATTTGAAATATTTCAATTCATGGCAGATATTATTATAATTGATGATGAATTTATGCCATTCTTGGCCCAAAAGTGACTCTTCACATTGGCTCCTGAGTGTTTTGGTGTAACTTTAAACAGGATTTGAAACTTTTGTTCTTTGGGGTATGACAAAATGTTTCAGGTTTAAATTATGTATTTCTTGCCTCAGACCTGGATTCTTCCTCTAAGAAATCCTCATTTCGTTTGAATTAGAAATGATAACTAGAGATCATAATATGATCATTGTGGGTCTACATTGCCATCACATTATTCATCGCTTCAAGTTCTTTCAATAACTAGAGCTGAGAAATACGTGTATGTGTGTGTGTGCATGTCTATGTGTTAAATCATGATTTTATACTAGTACTTTCTATTTCAATCAGGATACCATAAAATATTTAATCCCATCTGTTTTGCATTTTCTTTGTATATCAAGAAATCCCAGTTCCCAGTGACATGAACATTTATTTACTATATTTATTTACTATATCTCAATACACAAAGTAAACATGATCAACAACACTATTATTGGAAATAGATTAAAAGTTATTGTTCAAAAAAATTTTTTTTAATCTGTAGGGCATTTCATACTAAGTATGTTCAGTCAAATTACCATGGCTTAAAAATCATTTTTAAAGTTTTATATATGTCTAAGCCACCAGTTCTTCTTTTTTATTTTGAAAATAAAAGGAGGAAAACATTAACAGACAGACATTCTTTTACAAAATAGCAAAAGAACAGTACAGACAATACAGAGTTACAAACAAAGTGGTAGGAAGTTAACAATGCTTGTTGTATTACATATTGATATCTTCAAAGTGGTTTCTCATGAAAACAGGTAGAGACATGCAATATTGATCAATCAAGGACTCATTGACAGTTTCTTTCAGCAAAGAAATAGAAGACAGTAA